TATAAAAAAGGAAATTATAAAAATTAAATAATTAAATAAAATAATTATTATTTGAAAAATATATTTACAAACAAAAAATTTCAAATTAAATACATTTTCGAAAAATGTAAAGACTATTTATATTATCTAAATAAATTTGAAAAAATAAATTAAAGATTATTTCATAAAAAAAAAGGAACAACACAAAATTGTTAATTTTAGAATATTTCAATTATTAAATTATATAAAAGACAAATATAAAAATTAAATAAATAATTACTTTACATTTTCGAAAAATGTAAAGACTATTTATATTATTTAAATAAATTTGAAAAAATAAATTAAAGATTATTTCATAAAAAAAAGGAACAACACAAAATTGTTAATTTTAGAATATTTCAATTATTAAATTATATAAAAGACAAATATAAAAATTAAATAAATAATTACTTTACCTTTTTTTAAAATGTAAAGACTATTCATATTATTTAAATAAATTTGAAAAAATAAATTAAAGATTATTTCATAAAAAAAAAGAATCAACATTGTTAATTTTAGAATATTTCAATTATTAAATTATATAAAAGACAAATATAAAAATTAAATAAATTTGAAATAAAAAATTAAAGATAATTTCATAAAAAAAATTTGAAAAAATAAATTAAAGATAATTTCATAAAAAAAAATAATCAACATTGTTAATTTTACAATATTTCAATTATTATATTATATTGACAATGATAAAAAAATTAAATAAATAACATAATTACTATTTAATCAAATAAAAAATTTAATTAATTACAAAAATTATAAAAAAAATTAAAATTAAATATTTAGTCTGGGACTGTTAACAGTCGGCCCAGAGAAAGTCTGGACCGACTGTTAACAATCGGCCTGAATGTTAATAGTCTAGACCGACTGTTAACACAGTCGGGGGCCGGGAATCGGTCGGAAACCGCCATTCCCGGCCACTGAGCTCTAAAAAAGCCAAAAATTCACATTTTTCACACTTCAGCATGTCCAAAATCTAACTACTTATGCCCATGGATCTAATTAAACCAAAATTACTAAGGAAATTGCTATACCATGAACCGAATGAACTAAAAAAAGTGATGAAAACTAACCGGTTAAATGACCTTTTACTGTGAATTTTTTTTTTTAACTTAATTTTTTTTTTAATTCATTTAATGGTCAAAGGCCAATGTCAAATTTTGCTACAATGGAAGAGCCATTTTCGTGTATTTCCTCATTCTTTTGTGGCTTCCCGTTGACCAAAAAAGGGTCAAAAATTACTTTTTTTTTCTTCCAAAAAATGTCCTCCAAAATAGGGGTAAGTATAATATTATTTTATGAAATATTGTGTAGTTCAAAATAAGAGGGGAAAAATTATAATTTGAAATAATGGGATCAAACATTGGCTTAGGGAATAAAAAAAGAAAGAAAATCCATATTCTTTTCCCTCGGACAAAATATGGAAGCCCTGAGAGCCTCGTATGGAGAAACCTCATCCGACTCCGAAATTGATTCGGACCCGACACATTTACCCGAATCGAATAAACCATCCTCTACTCTCCCTCTACCCCCTCTTGATCTCCTTCGACCCTCAAATTCGTCCGGTAATAATTTTTTCACTACTCGATTTACATATTAATAGTTCTTTAATATTTGCCCACTAACTGTTTGATATTTTGTTTGTGGAAGGTGCATTTGATTGCTCATTACAAAACAATCATCTCAATCGTGTCCGTAACTTTCCCCATGTTGAAGGCAATTTTGCTTTGCATGTTTATATCCCTGGTAATTCATTTATTTAATTTTCTGGATTCATTCCGTTTTGGGTTTGATGTTCAATGGGGATTTTGCTTGTTGGTTTTTAGTTAGTATACCGTTGGTACCAAGAAAGGAGCTATCCCTGTTTTTGAGAAGGGTCACAACTGTAGTACCCGGGCTTCATGCGGTTGATGTAGATATCCCGTTCAATAATTTGGCTCATGATGTCCGAAAATTGGAGCAAGTTGTATTGGGGAGGGAGTTTCATGTAAGTTTGGGAAGAACTGTTCCGATTCGAGTGCATCAACGGGAAACCATGGTCGGCATGCTTCGCCAAAGGCTCCATTCCCAGAGGAGGTGAGATTGCATGGAATTCAAAATTCAATATTGTGCAGTTGCATATCTTTGGGTTCTAGTGTTTTGAGCTTCATGTGATGCTTATAGATTAGTGGTTGCGAAAATGGAAATAGGTATTGGATTGATTTCAATAAATGGGAAGTTTTCGTCAATGATGATCGTACCCGAACATTTCTCTCAATTGAAGTTACAACAAGAGGATTAGCTGAGGTATGACGTAATTAATTATGCATTAGAAGATTTATTTCAATTTCCTTAGTAAAGCTATTTATATGGATGTTTTTATGAACTTTTGCTTTAGTGTCCAAAGTCTGTATCTGGCAACTGAAAATCGGGCCCTTAGAATTGGAATAAGAAATGTTTATATTCTAATGTGATATTAAAGATTTTTATGGATTTTTATCCAAGGCTCTAACCTCTGCATTTATATCAGGATTCTTTTATTTTACGGCTTTATTGAACAACCTTTCTTGGTATATGATTGTATCAATCCTTCAAGTCTACTAGCTGCGTGTGTTGCTCTGAGAGTGTGCTTCACTTTGGGTGTGTGCACCGTTGTGGGTCTGTGTGTGGGGCTGAGCTCCTGTTTATTTCGTACTTGTTCTCTCTCATAATGCAATACATTTTGTCAGTATAACCTGCTTACTAAAAACTTCAATTTATGTTGAAAGGCTTAAACTTATTTTAGTGTGTCATCTCAGATAAGAAAGCAAATTCTAGCTGTAAACGAGGTTTACAGGCTACATAATCTACCAGAGTTTTATAAGGTTAGTTTAACATTTGGCTTTGCATTTATCTTTATTTCCATTGGTTTCTGATATTAACCACTCCAGTCGATATTCTCCTTTTCAAAGCTGAATTATATGCAACTGTTTCCTTGATGTTCACAGGATCCACGCCCTCATATATCTGTAGCTTGGGCTCTAGGTGATATCAGTGATTCCCTGAAGAGAGTGATTGAAGAGGAGACAAAGAGATGCATTACCAATGGGGAATTGTCGCAGAAGCACCTTTTTACATGCAAATTTAGTGTCATTTCATGTAAAATAGGTAAGAAAGCCTTTGAGGTATGCAAAGTTCAGGAAGATCAGGGTTGATACTCTGTCCACCGATATTGCTTGGAAAGAGATGAATAAAAGCAGTGACATTGTGTATGTGGCATTTCAAAAGCTTTTAAGATTTTTAGTGTATTTATGGACGGTACAAGTGAAAATACGACATTGGCTGTTGGGTTTTATTTGACTAATGAAATTTGAATGCTTAGCTGCTGTCTCCCGAGGACTTCCTTCTAAAGTTCTGCACTCATTTTATTGCCTTGATTACTAATTCATATCTTCCTGATTTGTATTGGCTTTGGGTATTATAGTAACTAGATTTTCTTTAGAAGAGCTTGATGGTTGATAAGAGCGTGGAAATGACTGTTGAGGAACATTAAGAGCAACGAAGCTTCACTGAACTCATTGGAGTTTATGAAAATGCAGGGGGAGGCAGCATGACTTGGCAGGGAAAAAAGAATGAATCAGATAAATATCACCCTTATTACAAAAAGAGCCATACAAGCTTCAATTGTTTACATAAGATAATCCTTTCCTACTACATACGAACAGATAAGCTCAGAGAATAAAACGCAAACGATCCAATTCAGTTGGAGCCAGATTCAAAGTGGCAGAAGGGTAACGATTAAAAAATCCATTAACCCCTCCGAGTCACGATTATTCAGACAGAAACTGAGCTGCCCCAATTACAAATTAGAATTGAATGAATCAATGCCAAAAGTTCATTCTGGACTCCAAATAGTTATGTTTCTTGAGCAATGAAAAACGGCTCAGAGTCCAGGAATGGACTCAAGATTGTATTTTTCTTGGGACGAAGTTCCATTGTCAGAATTGTCCTGCACCTTCGGTTGTTTAATGGCATCCAGAGTTTGTAGGTACGTATAAGAAGCATTACGATTTGATGAAACGCTTGGATTGCTAATTTTGCTGGCAAGGAAGCGACGAATCAATCCCCTGAGGAATGGAGCCATGGTATCTGGTTCATGTTCCAAGTAGTACATTATTCCACCCATACATGCGCAAAACAAAGCCACCTATAACAGTTCAGAGTCATTGAGGTAATCGAATTAGTTAACCTTCACAGTCACTGTTGGAAATAACAAAATATCCTTACAAACACTACTTCCAGACATGGTCGTTACCTCAGCATTCTTGATATCTGGAAGCAATCGGCGGTTCACTAAAATATACCACAAAGATTCTCCTGCTCGTGGAAGAACGTACAAAGCGAGTTCACCACGTCGAGCTTTCTTTTCTAATAGTACAGAAAGGGCAGCTATTCCTCCAGCAACCCAATATACAAGCTTGTGATCCTTCAATGCTATTTTTCTGTGGGCACATATAACCCCCTGTTCTTGACATGGAGAAATAAATCAGAGAACTTGTGTAAAGGCATATGAAATTGTACAAAGAATCAGTTACCTGAAAAATTCCAACAAAAGCAGACAAGAAAGTTGTTGAGCGAGCAGCTCCCATAACAGCACGCCAGCAGGTGCGAACTGGAGCATCCATGAACTGATACAACAAATTATTGACCAGAATCTATCAAAAGACTTCAGATAAATTATCAGTTGCTCTAAAGCAAAATGGTGCTGTCCTTCCATGTCCATCTTTCTACTATTATCCTCTTTATAAGGAAAGACAATCCACAATGCTGAAAACTTGACGATCAATGTAAATAATTATAAAAGGCTATTCTGGTTTTAAATGCAACTAACCCTTATTTTTTTTTTTGGTTTTGCCATCTTCATAGTAATGACATCTCAGAAATATGAACAGAAAACAACACAAAAATCCCTTTGATGAGAATTTCAAAAACTTCCACGACAGTGAGCCAAAATAGACTCCTGAACTTATTGTGTCTCACAATTACATTTTTCCCCCATAAATAAGCGGACAGGAGTAAGAACCCATTCTTGCTCTAAATAGAATGGTTTTAGTTTGACAAATGGACTTGCACCTAAAAATTATGTACTTGGATCACTATGGGAGGTAAAATCTATTCTTGCTCCGACTAAGTCTATTACTATGATCACCAGGCACTTGATGGGGAAAAGTGCAATATTATAAACCGATATCTCATACAATGACTATTCAATTCTTCCTTTGTTTCTTTGTTTTTATTTACCCAATATTCTTTCCCCTCTGCTGATTATTTTTTATTTCGTAATATTTTTTGGAGGGAGGGGGGATGGGTCGCAGAGAGAAACTAAATCAAAGCAAGTACCTTTTGCAAGCGAAGAACAACAAAGGGCACAAACGTTAAAGAGAAGTACAGAGGAAATGTTTTCCTGAAAGTAGCTGATGCAGCACTGGCATTATGTAGCAAGCATGAGTTTGTGCCTGGGTGGATCATAGAACAGGAGATAATAGTGGGGAACTCTTCCAACTTTACTGTGCTGGGAACATTTGTGGTGGACAGATAAGCAGATAGTGAGACGACATCAACTGGAGATCCCCTACAACAATCCCTCACAGCTTTATACACAGGTTTAGCAACTGGCCCAGTTTTCTGAATAAAATCTTGATACGACTTTGGCAAGCTCTCAGGACGCATTATGAAGGCATACATAACCTGTTAAAACGTTATGAAATTGGACGGCAAAGAAAGTTATTAGAGAAGAAAGAAATAAATAGAACTTGAACAAATAGAGGGCCATAGTATAACATATTGTCAGTGAGTTATAATAACTAACACTTCAAAAGTTAGAACTGAAATAATATGTAAAGCCACCTCTTATAAGAACTCTAATGTCATACGCATGCGTGCATGTGAACAAACACACAGACTCTATTCAGTGATTATTACCCTAGTGTGTAGTCCTAATCCTCTCTAGATCTTCAAGCTTATCAAATTTAAAATGATTCACTTCCTAAATTAAAGGCAATCAACAAATTATGAAATACAATTTAGATTTCATGAACACGTTGAATGGCTGCTATAGATACCCCGAATCCACGATGGAGACCTTTTTAGTATGAATTCAGCCTGTTCATGTATGGTTCTTTCATTAATCAGTTCAATGGCCAGAACAATGACATTCCTTTACTTCACATGGAATTCCAAATACTTTCATAGACCGGATTGTGAAAAACAAGCAATTGTTTCTTTAGGAAATCAAAATCTTTCAGGCATTTCAATAGTTTGTTGGTTCACTCAGTCTGTCAGTTTCAAATTTTCGATTGAGGAAAGTCAACCGTTCTCAACAAGTTCATGCAGGTTTCCACTACAAACTACATAGAGCAGTGTAGACGGTAGAGTAAGTTCTTTACGGACAAAAAGAACGAAAGCTGAAACAGCTAGCGATATAGAATTCTTAATTTATGATCAATCAGTCTGTAAATTACCTGTGCACATGCTATTGCAAAGAGAAGAGTATCTCCATGACTCCAATGACTTCCCCAAAGGTGAAATTTGTTTTTCGACTTAGCAGAATTATATGCACACTGATTTAATAACAAATCAATTAGGCATGAAAACAAAAGAATAGAACTCTTCCTAGCACGTCAAGGTAAACAAATTTTGAATATCAACAGGAGAGAATTCACCAACCTGAGCAAGCCTAGCCAAAAGATATAAAGCAAGTGTGCGTCTCTTGCTGGAATCATCTAATGCCAAAATAGACAAACCTGCTACTGAACCTGCTAAAATTCTGCTCCATCATCCCCTTTAACAAAGTCATATATATGGAATTGGATACATCATGCATCAAAAAACCCTTTAAATAACTGATAAATTTCATAAGAATTGTAGCATATTATGATCTTAAAAATAAAGTTAAAAAGTACTACTTCATAACTTACGCATTTATTGGCGTTTCTTTCTTTCTCCACTTCCTCAGCAAACATCTAAGAGCATGATAGGAACCAGTGAATCCCCCAAAGAGCAAACCAATTCGACATGCTTCCTCTCTTACTATTAGGTCTTTCTCGGATACCAGTTGCTGAAATCAAATCCATAGTTCAGCACTAGATCGAGATTTACTGCAGATGCATTCACATAAATACAGAGAAAAAGGTTTCCCTCAGGTATGTAACAGCAGAAAAAGTTCAATCAGTACCCATGCAATTTACCCATGTGAGGCAAGGCATGCAAAACAAACCAATAATAGTTCAAAAGAATATAGAAGTATATTAAAATGCTCATGATAAACCATATACCATCTTAAAAATCTACAATAAAATAAAATAATAAAAAGTATACCTTACAAACAAAAATAAATGTATCGATAAAAGTAGTAAACACTAAGTTCTCAAATTAGTAATCAATAAAACTATATATATATAACTAAAATCAAAAAAAATCCGGAAATCTCCTATATCATCACTACCGATATGGAGGCTGCCATCCCAAGGACTGACTGGGAAGTTATTCCCTTCACCACACAGAGCTCAGGAGACTAGCAACTAAGAAAGCTCCGTATTCTATTTAAATTGGCAGCAATTCTAGCGGTGAGTGGAACTTAGGATCTTCCAGGAAATATCAACATTGTACTTCCATAATTATCAGTTTTGTCTCATTCGTTATCATCATTCTCCATTTTCCATGGTGCCATCTTCTTCTTCTTTCCCACGGAAGGAAGAAGAAAGAAAACAATATTACTCCACATGTTCCAAGTAATAAAAAATAATCCAAAAGGCTGAGGTTGGCAAAAGAATGCCCGGAAAATGCTAGGGAAATAAATACTTAGAATCACCCTAAAATTCAGTCTTGAGGCATAAGCCTTGATAACGCAAGGCACAAGTCTCAATAAATGGTGATGTAAGCCTTACAAATAATGTGGGACATCGGGTGTAAGCTTATACAACCTTTAAAATAATGATTATAGGATATCCATAGAGTACAGAATCATTTGTGGATTGAAAATGGAAAATATATTTTACATTAGAAAAGCTTATCGTAGCAATGGAATAGGTTAAAAATAGTATCAATAATGTCTGTAACTAAAAGAGGGAAAAAATTCATTCACAATTTAATATAATAATGATCAACGAGAAACCATTTAAAGCTTATATTTACCATTTTTTTTAAAGAAATTATATAGTTTACATTATTCAATGTGCTAAATATTGTTTTCCTTCTTCCAAAAATTCTTTAATAAATGACCTACGAGTTAAACAGGTAATCAAGGAATATGATGCCTTAGCCAGGGCAATCTTCAATTTGGGCACAATAACTACATACTCAATTCCCTCTATGTTATTTATTGTTTGCTACTATATCCTCCCAGCACGCTCGACAAATTCATCAAAAAGCTTCCACACTCTTTCTTTATCATCACAAATTTGACACCTAAAATTAAAAATAAATTATTTCTTCCAAATAATTTACCTTAATATTTCCCGCTAAACTCACATCCAAAGAAATTACTTCAACATTTTCAGAGACCATTACAATATCCATATTCTGTTTTCCCACATTTAATTATCAGCAAATAAGTACATTTCCAATTTCATGTTCTAATTTCTAATCGATGTAAACAGCTACATTTTATGACTAAAATTCCAATTGATATTTTAGTTGGTCCATAGTTGTCCAGTAACTACATCGTCCTAGCTCAAAAATAAAATATATTATCCAAAACAAGATGAATTGAGTCAATCCTGTACTCAAGCTAGCTCAATCAATCATCATAGTAAAGCAGTATAAATTCTACATTTAAGATTACTCCACACAATTGAAACTTGAGATCGAGATCAAGTACCGAATATTATAATTGAAATTCGAAAGTATAACTTCCAACATATATAGCAAGGGTTGAACCTTTAGATCGAGGAGAGACGAATAAGACTTGACGCGTGCGAGCTTGAAGGCGCGGAGGAGGATTCCAATTCCCACGCGAATGCCATAAGAGAGGAGAAAACTCTGGCATAGGTTTCCAACGGCGTTAGCAACGCAGGACTCATCGGCGTGATCGCATGGATGTTGGAGCCCACCCTTGGCGCGCCTCTGCCGAATCTGCAGATCTTCTATGGCCTCTCGCAGCCGCTCCTCCGCCTCTCGCAGAGGCCGCTCAGGCGCATCCGCCGGTTGTTGCTGCGGCGGCGAAGAATTGCGCATTTTTGTGTATAATAGGGAGGTTTCAGCATCCGAGTCTCAAATTCCGACGAGAGATTTCGTATTTTTCCCCTATTTGGTACTGTGGAACGGATTAGTGATGCAAATAATAATAACAATTAGACAAAACTGCAGCAGCGGTCCCTCATCTTTTTATTTTTTACAAACTTTACTCTAAGGTTTATTTTGTGCCAACAAAAGCTCTTAATCTTTCATATATATGCACCTGAAGTCCATCTAGACGGAAACCGTCCAAAACACCATCAATTAACCTAAAAAATTTCTTAAATTATCTGCTATTGCAACGATTTTATTGAATGTTGATACTTTTTAGGACGGTGTTTTGGACAATTTTCTTCCAGATGGATTTCAAGTATATATTTATGAAAAGTTAGGAACCTCCGCTGACACAAAATGAAAGTTAAAATAAAGTTTACAAAAAATGAAAAGGTTAAGAATCGTTGCTACAATAATAATAATAAAATAATCTAATTTTGCTATAAATATTTCACCTTCGATCACTGAACTTTCAAAAAGAGTTCAATTGGATCATCAAACTTTAATTTAAATTAAAATTTATCACTTTTTCACATTTCTTGAGCTACCGCCTACCGTCCTCATAATAAAGAACATTGTTAAGTTAGAGCATATCTAAAAAAATCTTTAAATAAAAAATACTCTTTATTTTAGAGAATTATTATTTAAAATGGGTTTCAAGAGACTCTTTATTCTAATTTTTTAAAATAAAGAGTATGTTTGCCTCTCTAAATTTAGAAAACCAAATTCACTCTCTATTTTTAATGTGCAATGATTACATTTAATATATTACAAATTTATATTTGAATTGATTGGTCATTAATATATAAAAAATTATACTTAAATAAAATATGTGGAAATTTTATTAAATGTTTATTGGAAAAAACAAAATAAAGAATCAAAGTAAAGAGTTTGTTGGAGTATATAAAAAATTACTTTCTAAATTTAAAAATACTCTCTATTATGCATAAGTTGTTCTTTATACTATTGCCAGTCACACTTTAACTCATATTCTGCATAATCACTATGTGATACTTTAAAAGTGATTGGTATAATAATATTTCAATATTTTTATATTAAAAGATTATTATTTTAATGCTTTTATCACGCCACTTTCCCCCGAAAGTTGCAGGTCATGAAAGAGGTCAATCCAACGTACACCAACGTTTGGTGCTCTCATGTGCCACCAAATTTTACCTTTTTCTTTAAAATAATTTTTAGACGTCTTTTTTATAAACGTTTTAATTTTTTTCATTTTAACACCGAGTTTATTCCCTCAAGACATACGTCTAATTAGAGTTTGAAATTTATAGGAGAGAGAAAATCTACAATGCAATTGCTTTGTAGGTTGAAAATATCATGACATGTTTGGTGAAGAGTGTTATACAATCTCGATCCTCTACCCTTAGTGGAGAAGATAAAAACTTTTCACTACTAACGTGGCAAGAGAATCTTAATTATTTCAAAGAACCATAATTAAAGTTCACTTGTCACGTCATCAACGAGAAGTTACTTGAAACCCTTTTTCCGACCACACTACTGAAGTTATTGAAGCACCTTGGTATGCTTCTTGACAGATTATTACTCGCCACAAAATATGAAGGCCAGTAAGATGACATAATTCCCGTGAAATAGTTACCCAAAACTTCTTCACACAAAGCTTGAGAATAACAGGTTTTGAAAGTTTTTTGCAGATCCATCCCAGTATATTTCCACTAAACAGGTTACCTCCTAGGTCGAGCACCTTCAAATTGACACATTTCAGCAGTGATGTGAGCAATTCTCCAGACAAATTGGCGAAGTCTGATTCAGATATGGCTCCCTCCACTGAATTGAATGAAATGCTTTGAGGAATCCTATTCGGGTTTAATTGTCAAATTCTATTTAAAGTTCTATTTTTAAGTCCATTGGGAGTTGGAAATTGAGTCGGACTTGAAGAACTCAAATAAGGAAAATTTTAGGCATTTTATTTCGTCTACAACTCTACTTTCAGAGATGGATTTTCTCTATAAATATGAGGCTCCTCTGTCAGTTTTTTGAGAAGCAATGTTGCTACGTTGTACTTGTTTTTTCCATATTGTTTAGTGATAAACATATTTCCTCTACGACTAACCCTTTTTGTTCTTCTTTACTTTAAATCTTGTATTCGTTATGTAATCTTGTTTACTTCATTGTTGTCTTTAAATCTCATTCTTTATAATTCAATTTGGGATTGACAAGTAGTATCGGAGTTTCCGCGTCCAACAAGTGGTATCAAAGCTCTGTTCCTTTTGTAAATTGGTTGAGATTTTTCGGGATGGTTAGGTTGAAATATGATATTTCACAACTAGATTGCAATACGAGATTTTCTTTGTATCAAGTAAAGATGATGGTTGTTCTGGCGCAGTTGGATTTGGACAATGCGTTGTTGGGTTTTGAGAAGATGTTAGCTATTGGACAACGGAGGAAAAACAACAGAAGGATCGGACGGCTGTGTCATTGATTTATCTTCATTTATCCAACAATATTTTGCACGATGTCTTGAAGAAGAAAATGACAACTGCTTTATGGTTGAGACTAGAGCATTTATGTATGATTAAGAGTCTTACTAGTAAATTGACTTTTAAGTAGAAGCTGTATTCTCATCGCATGAAGGAAAGAGGGTCGTTAGAAGATCACATTGCCGTGTTCAAGGAAATAGTTGCAGATTTGAAATGTTGATGGTTAAGTACGATGAAGAGGATCTTGCATTGATCCTGTTGTGTTTGCTGTCTGGTTCTTATGCTTCGTTTCTAGACACCATCTTGTATAGCCAAGATACTTTAACTATAAATGATGTCTATGATTCTTTGCACTCAAAGGGGAAGATGAAGCATTTGATTGGAGCTACATCAAGGGATGGTGAAAGCTCTTGTATCTCAAGGTGGTCGATGGAGAGGTAGAACAAAATTCAACTTTAGCAATGTACTGTTACTATTGCAAACAGAAGGGACATATTCGAAAGGATTGCCATATGTTGCAGGCTAGAGGTGATTTCGTTGCAAATCGTGGAGCTCAATCTTTGACTTCAAGCGAAACCAATGTAGTTGAGAATTTTTTAGATAGCGGAGATGTGATGTTGATTGTGGTATCTGATGTGGAATCCAGGCCTGATGAGGAGTGGATTCTTGATTCAGTATGTTCACACAGTATGTGTTCCGATAGGAACTTATTTAAGACATATGAGGTTGTTCAGCAAGATGGAGTTGTAATCGAAAACAACCAGTTTTGCCATATTGCTGGAATCGGTCGAGTCAAATTGCGGTTGCAGAATGGGAAGGTCAGAACACTTGCCAGGTTCGACATGTTCCAGATCTGAAGAGGAATCCCATTTTGCTGAGTGCCCTGGCTGCAGAAAGATATAAATTTTCTGGAGGAGGTAGAATATTAAAGGTCCGAAAGGAAATACGAGTTGTACTGGAGGAATGGAGAAGATCATAATTGTACATTTTGTAGAGGAGTGCAGAACCAGTTAAGATGAGACATTTGGACAAATTTAGTACCATGGTGGAAGTTCACTTTGATACAGTACCTCTTGTGTTGGGCTTTGAGTCGGTTCAGAACACTACCAGGTAGAGCGTTAGTGATTCCGCTTTGCCACCAATTTCGACGGGTACATTGTGTTCAGTTGCTAGAATTGGATTCATCGAGCGTAGGTACCGTGGTGTCAGTAATGTCTAGGATGCTTTTAGGGACATTGAAGGTAACAGTTCCAACAAGGGGCCTTCTGATCAAACATCTGATTTGGCTCTTGTTACAAGGTGTGCTTCGATCCTATGTGATCAACATTAATTCTAAGGAGGAATTTCGGGAACCCTAGGATTGGGTTTGGGTGTCGCTTATAGACACTGGGCAGAGGACAATTGTTTGGTTTATATAGAGTGTTTGGTTACTACGTTGAAGAGATTGGCCAATTCATTTCGATGTAGACAGATTTGAAATCTAGGAGTTTCGTTCGGTTGCACTGAAATTCGCGTCAAGTTAGAGATTGTTAGAATTTTGGGATGACTCAAATTCTTTTATTGATATAATTGTAGAATTCTGATTAAAGTGTACATCAAGAGAAATTCTAGTTGGAATGCTTTGAGGAATCCTATTAAAGTTTAATTGTCAAATTCTATTTAAATAACTATTTTGAAGTCCATTGGAAGTTGGAATTTGAGTTGGACTTGAAGAGTTCAAATAAGGAAACTTTTAGGCATTTTATTTCGTCTCCAAATCTACTTCCAGAGATGGATTTTTCCTATAAATATGAGGTTCCTCTGTCAGTTTTGTGAGAAGCAATTTTGCTAAGTTGTACTTGTTTTCTCTATATTGTTCAGTAATAAATATCGTCACTTTACAATTAACCCATTTTGTTCTTCTTTACTTTAAATCTTGTTTTCGTGGTGTGATTTTGTTTACTTCAATATTGTCATTAAATCTCATTCCTTACAATCTGATTTGGGATCACCAAGTTGTATTAGAGCTTTCCAACAGAGAGATCACCAAGTGGTATCAGAGCTTTCGCGCCCAACAAAGCTTTCAAAAAGTCCACTACAATCTCCAGATTAAGACAGTGCAAATGTGACAGTTTTCCAAGTTGTAGAGGGACTACTAACTAGAATCCAACCTGAGAAAGATCAAGATACTGCAAATTTTTCAAAGAACCAATGAAACTTGGAATTCGAATCACTTCAAGATCATTACAACTCAGATCTAACCGAGTCGGATACATAGAATCAAAGAAGGCTTCAGCTTCTCCTCTACTTATATCTCGAGTGAACTTCAATATCAGAAACATCTACGCTAAACTCGGTGTAAGGTTCAACGTGACGATTATGAAGGCGAATTTCATGGACTCAAGATGTTATATCATCACAAACGATCTCAACCCATTTCCACTAGGGGTGGGCGTGGGTCGGTTCGGTAAATGGAATTGTCGGGTCCAAATATAATTATGGAACCGTTCGGTTTCGTTTCGTTCGATTCTGTACTATAATTAAATTTTTTAACATTTATAACAATATTATATAAATACAACTAATGATACATTCAATGGTTTTAGAATGTCAGAGACTAGTAGACTATTTTGTTCAAATGATCGTTACGGTCAAAATTTCGGTCGGCGGAGGTCACAGTGTCGGCCGACGATTGTATAGGTTTAAGAATGTTAGCGAGGCTGTGAGAGTGAGTACGAGAGTCTAGACAACGTTATATACTTTAGTATAGGTGTTTAGGGTTATTTAATGGATTAGATCTTGTTGGGCTAATAAATGAAACAATAAAATAGGTAATTGAGCCAAAAATTAAAAAATTAGAAATGAAACAAATTATTGGACCAAAAATTTAGATTTAAAAATTGTTAATTTGTTTAGAAAAAATTAAAATTAAAATAATTTGATTTACACAAAAAAAAATTATAAAGATTCGGTTCTTGGTCTAGAATCGAGAATCGAACCGTAGCCGTCGGTTCTCAATTCAGATATCCGTTCGGGTATTTAATTTGACAAGAACCGTCGGGTTCGGTTCGGGAGATTTGTCCAGTCCTATTTCCGGCTATCGTCACCAACCCAAGAAAAGAGAGGTTTTTCCAGGATCTTGTCAATCATTCTTGAACAGCAAAAGGGCCTTACTCTCAGTAGAGAATGCTTTGCAAAAGCAAGTATCAAGTGCTGTTACGGTGCATAACAAGAGGCAACAGAGAATCCCCATAGATCCGGTAAATAGAACCATGATCACTCAATAACAGAATCAGGTGTAAATAATTACAGATGTATTTGCAATTCTTATTGCTATTTGTATCCCTTAGCCTTTATTTATACTGGTTGCCTTGACAGCATGAGTTTTCTTCGGGACAAATTAGTAAAATAAGTTCTGTTTATTTCTGATGTGTAAGAACTAAGAACTATGTTAACACTACGTCATTGTCATCTTTCACGTCAAACATTCTATTAGAAAAACTGAAGAATTTTATTTAAGTAACCGAACTAAGTTGAATGACTAACTGTATTTTGAACCCATTTAATATTTCAATACTTCTATTATCTCCTAGAATCAATTATTTGCAATATAAAGTTGATTTTTTTTTCAATACTCAACACCATGAACCCTCCTAAGAGAGTGTCCTGCTCTCACTTTCCACAGGAAATATCTAGGAATATTTCTACCAAGAATATATCTCAAATAAATACGAAGACGAGAATTTGAGACTGATATATAGGAGCTGCTATATGTTTCATTTTCAACCATTATGCAAGCAACCCTCAGAAGGATTCCCATCCGAATATGGAAGCCATGCATTCAAACAATGAGCTAGCACAAGAATAGTCGTATTCCATGCTGATTCAAATCATATAAACATAAGGGGATGTATGACAATGATTGCAAAACTAAGAGAGGGCGATTTGTGTCCAATGTATGATAAGGTTAATGGAAGAGAGATGAAGTTTTCTTGAGACTTTAACTTGTATACTCAAATCTTCTGGTGCTTGTAGAACATGACAACCAGTTAAGTAGAAAGACCAGATTTCATCATACAAAATAACACCAACCAAATTCAAAGTAAAGAGAAAAAACACAAAAGTTGATCTGATAGATGAATTTCTGGATTTAGTTTCATTACCAATGGTTTGAAGACTTAGTCACCTTAAAGAAGGTGGACCTATCACAATGAGTAAAAGCTTAATTGAAACAACAACTTCGAATACAAACAATTTGTTGCTCTGTTTCCTCTTTCAAAATGACATCGTCAAATTGGCTATACTTCATCGACCAGTTTGAAATGATCCTAAGAATAGAAGAAAAAAAGTTTTTATTGAACTGAACATTTTGGAGAATAAGCAGTTGTTGAGCGCCAAAGACGAGAACCCTAGGCTTCCCAACCCCTCAATAATGTGGCACGAGCAACACGATTCACACCCAGAGTGAAGGCTCCCATGCGAAGGTTGCAAGCATGAGACTGACACATATTCTTCAGGTTATGGAAGGCTCTTGTCATGTATTTCTTAAGTTCCCGATTCACCTTCTCTTCATCCCACATAAAACCCTGAATGTTCTGTGTACAAAAGTCATAATTACATCTCAATTAGTTTCAAGAAATATATCTATCAAGAAAAAATAATAATAATAAAATAATAGAAAAATCCTTCATCAAATAAGCGAATCAGCAATCACGCTGTCATGCTTTTGTATGCCCACATTGATTAGCAAATTTATAAGAATTTGTAGGAGGAATTACAGAAAAATATAAACACTTGAAGCCATCTATTTGCAAAATAACTTACTGTTACAATAATTGTCAAAATGAACTAATTTAATTCATCACCTATTCTGATTCAAAAAAAATACTACGAAAAATTAAATCCGATATTTCAGATTATTGATATGCGAAGATATGGATGCTTTAAATTGATTATAATATTTGTTAATTCAATTGCTCACTGTTTTATGTAAAATTGAGAGGATAAATTATCTATTTTTCTTTACGACAACATCAAGCGAGAAGAAGTTACCTGAACCCACTCAAAATAGCTTACTGTCACTCCTCCTGCATTTGCATATATGTCGGGGAGTATTATAACTCCTTTCTTGGACAAAATCTGGAACAACACAACATTTTGTAAATAAGTATATACCAGAAGAGATAACTTAAACTAAACTTGGGAGCAGCTTCGCACCTCATCAGCTTCGGGGTCAGTCGGATGATTTGCTGCTTCTATGATGTATTTGGCCCTGACATTTCCAGCATTTTCTCTTTCAATCAAGAAAAGAAATGGGTAAAAGTTAGTTGGGACTAAAAAGGTTCAAGAATTCAAAACGAAGCATGTGAAAGAACGAGAATCCAAATGTCTAACAAAAAATAAGCAAGCAAATATGTAGTCATAGGACAGATTTCACTCATGAAACCACTTGCTGCATTCCTTTGAAGATTTTGTTCAAAAATTAGTAATAACACCAACCATAAATTCTGCTAACCTGTTTAGAACTCCACCTAGAGCGCATGGTATGAGAACATCACATTCATGAGTGAGCACTTCATCTGAATCCATTGCATCACCACCATCAAAATCAGTTAACGTTCCAGTTCTCTCCTTGTGCTGAAGCAAAGCTGGTATATCAAGTCCATTAGGATTTTTCACTGCTCCGGTTATGTCACTCACAGCTACAACCTTACCACCTTTCTTGTGTATGAGCATTGCGGCCCACGATCCAACATTTCCGAACCCCTAGATGATAACTTTTAGTTAACTAATATGAATATTGCAAGCATATTGTGCATCTACATGGTTAAGAATGGATAAATATGGAGTTCAACTTTACTTAAATGAAATTATACCTGAATAGAAAATGTTAAGTCTTTTATTGATTTGCCATGTTCGGCGAGTAATGCTTCTGCGGCATATACAACGCCACGGCCAGTTGCGGCCTCCCTGCCTAGTGAACCACCAAGATCCTGACATGCCAGAGGAAAACATTGAACTTGCACGGCCAAGATGGAATCTCATCTTAATTTGCAATATATATTAAAAATATAGTATTTAGTATCGTCGAGATATTTACAATTGGTTTTCCTGTGACAATAGCTGGCGAGTGACCATGAAATTTTGAGTACTCGTCCAAAATCCATGCCATAGTCTGCACATTACAAACATGTTAATCACTTCCATTATATGAAATATGTTTATGACCCCAACGGATGAAAATTATTGAATAAAAGAAAAAGGGATAATAGAAATCATTAACCTGAGCATTGGTTCCCATGTCAGGTGCCGGTACATCAGTATTAATTCCTATAAGATCGTGAATCTTCTGTGTAAAGACACGTGTAAGGCGTTCCAACTCACTCTTGCTTAAATCTTTTGGATTACATCCTATACCACCCTTTGCTCCACCATATGGAATGTCGGCTACAGCAGTCTTCCAAGTCATCAGTTGGGCAAGAGCATTTACCTCATCGGGGTCTACCTTTCAGTTTTTAAGAGCACATCAGGACAAAATATGAATAAAACAATTTAAAATGTTGGCTCCGGATGTAAATAATAACACAATAAGATTCCGCAATTACAAAATGTGAAAAATTAGTAGAAAGGCCAGATAATATACGCAAAAATCTTATCATGATAAATCTGGGAGATAAAACATGGTTCTTGCATCAAACATCAATTATGTCTTCTGATCTGTTATCTTTTTAAGTAATATCATTGCGACTCATTGAGCTTTTCAGTGGAGTGTACTCAATGCAGTAAATGAGTTCCATTTTCAGTACTTAAGAAGGATCGTTTAAGCCAATGGTAATCCCAAGAATTCATTTTCTTTTTTCAGAAAACCAGTCTGTATCTGCCCAACAATAGTCTTCAAAAAAAGCCATTACAATCATCTGAAGAAAAAGAATGAAAAAAGTTGTTTTATATTCATTCTCCATCCAATTACCGCTTAATTCAATCAAGAATTTCAAGAACCTTGAACACAAAACTCCAAAATCCAACCATAAAATCAAGCAAGTATTAAAACAAAAATAAATAAATAAATTATATATACAAATAAAATAACAAAAAATTACAACCTCTGGATGGTATCTGATTCCTCCCTTCATTGGACCACGAGCATTGTCATGTTGCACTCTAAATCCAACATAAGACACCAGGGTTCCATCATCTTTGGGAATTGTGCACTCCACCTGAACATCATCAAATACCCATAAACTACATCAAGAAAATTTCAAAGAAACTGTACAAAATACCCACAAATACAAAAAATTGCATATCTTTTACCAGCCCAGTGAGCCCACATTAAGAAGATGAACAGAACACGCCTTAAAGATAGAAACAAAATTGCACATTTTTATAAATTAACCAAATTTTACAAGTAATTTTTCTGTTTTACCTTAATCTCTCTGAATGGGATCAAAAGGCTCTTCTCAATCTTGGAGTCAAGCCCAAGAATGCGAGCCGCTTGACGGAAGTTGCGATTGGTGGCCGAAAGAGCATTCATTGCAAAGCTCTGTTTATTAAATCAATTGCACAGTTCAATGAAAAAAGGAAAGAAATATCTGTGCACAAAGTCAATGTCGATTAGCAGTAGATCAGGAGAACTAGAATCAAGATGCATAAAGCAAGCCAGTTTGCTATCTATTTATATTCGTTGGGTTGGGGGTGGTGGATGCGGGTGGGGTGCGTGTGGGATGCGGCGACTGGTATTGGGGTAAGGTTGATGAATCACAGTTGACCAAGCAGGAGAAGATGGGTGCGTACGTGTAGAAAGGGTAAAATTGGAGAAAGTATAGAACCCTTTTTCACGAGGGTTGATGGCTCACATGAGGTTATCTCCAAAAATCTCACCCCCAATTTTTGTGTGTATAGTGACAGAACCCTATAGATTGGGTTCTTTATGTGAAGCACACTTCGATAAAATTTCCTTGCTGAGAAGTAAGGTCTTGTTTGTTTCGATTCTTTGGAAAAAATGAAAAATATGACCGTTATCCATCATATCAATTCACCATATTTAACTTTCTATTTTTTGTGTGGGTCTCATGACGGTTATATTTTTCATTCTCATTCTTATAAAAATGAGAATCAAACGAGGGCTAAATAATATTTTGAAAAATTAATTTCCCAAAAATATGGACTTATGGAAACAATTATTTTTTCCAAATGGCAAGTTAACTTTCTGAAAAACCTAAAGCACGTTTGACAAAAAAATATCTTTAAATATCCTTTAAGTTTAGATAAACGTACTCATCACGAAAAGGGGTTAAAAGGGAAATTTGCAACAGCGATTCCTAATATTTTCATTTTTTTGTGGATTTTATCCTAATTTTCATTTTATGTCAACGGAGGTTTCTAATCTTTCATAAATATGCATCCAAAGTCCATTTGGATGGAAACTGTTCAAAACACTGTCAGTTGACTAAAAAAATTAAGGAATCAGCATTCAATAAAATCGTCTAAAATACTATCCAAAAAGCTATCAACATCCAATAAAATCATCGTTGTAACAGATAGTTCAAAAAAAATTTCCGATCAGCTGACAATATTTTGGCCGATTTCCTTCCAGATAGGTCTCAGGTGCAAATTTTTGAAAGCTTAGGGACATTCGTTGGCTAGGGATGGCAATGAGCCGGCTCACTAGCCAAAAATCAATGAAGATAGGTTTTTTTGGCCCGAGCAAAAGCTTAACCAAAAAGAAGGCTCGGGCCGAGCCGAGCCAACTCGATTTTATTATTAATTTTTTTTTTTGGCAGAAAGCAGCTGGTAGCTACCTTTATTTAAAGGCAGTAGCCAGCTACCTTACTTTTTTTTTTTTCGAGCCGATCCTCAAGCCACATGGGTCGACTCAAGCTCGGCCCGGCACCCCAATATGAGGCTCAGCCCGAGCTTAGGCTTGGTTTGATCGAGCCTCGAGCCGAGCAGACTCGAGCTTTTTACGGGCCGAGCCACTGGCGGCCCGAGCTCTCGAACCTTTTTGACATTCCTATTCGCTGGCACAAATGAAGGTTAAAGTAAAGTTTACAAAATCGAAAAAGTTAGGGACCACTACTACAATTTTCCCTTTAAAAATTGCAACTCCAAGGAAATGGAGAGAATTTTTGAGACGGTGGATGTTGGAATGTACTAAACCAAAATGTAGTAGTATGAGATTATTTTTTTCATGAAATATATTTTTATCGATTTTTTCAACTAATTACTTTAAAAAAAAATAAACTTTATTGGTTATTTAACCTTGACCATATAATTTCCGCGTTATAATTTTCATTTTTTGATCAAACAATAAATACATAGAAATTTTAGATCAAAAAGTTCTTTCAAATTTGACAATTAGTTGTTATTTATAGGTACTTTGTAATCGCAACTCAAAACTCAAAAATGTTAAAACAGACTGAGCGTAAGTCATCACAAATCTTTGCAATAGTTTTCAAATAAATAGATCCCATCGAGTTGAAAAATAGAAAAAAGTAGATAAGAAAAACAAAAAAAATTGACCAAATTGATCAAACTTCATTTTTTACCATATATTTCAAATTCATCATACATGTCAAGTTCTGTTACCCATATTCTTCCAAATTTATAAAAATTACTTAATTAGCAATCATACTTTACCCAGACTCACACGTAATAGCTAAATGACACCTTAGAAACGAAACTAGCAAAATGAGATTATGGCAATCTCATTATATTGAAAGGCTAAAAGACTTATTTTTATTTTATTTTTTTTTAAACGTGACTTAATGATAAAACTAAATGACATGTGAGAACTACATATAAAAAATGTTGAAATAAATTATTAATTTAATATTCTTTATTAATTTATATTTTAACTCTTATTTCTCTGTCATAAAAGTAAACACTTCTTATTTTATTTATTTTTTTTTTAAATAAATATATCTAAGTGAAGGTTTTTATATTAAGTTTACTAATCTTTGAAGTTTTCTAAAATAAAAGGGTAATTTGAACAAAACGTTCATACATTTCAAGTTTATTGTGGAAAACATCCATACCTTTCATTTTTTAACATTTTTCGCCCCTATCTTTCACATTTCTTTGCTCTGGACATCATTTTTACCAATTTTTAACGTAAAATGACAAATATACTCTCTTATTTAAATAAAACCAAAAAAAGAAGGGAAAAAAAAGAATAAATTGTAACTATAGGTCCAAACTTTTAAAAAGTGCAACTTAGTCCAAATAAATTATGAAAAAATATTTAAAAAATTATCTCTCTCTTTCTCTTCTCTTCTTCTCCTCCCATCATCCACCTGGCTATGATTTTCACCACATTCTGGCTACCATGGCCACCAAACCATAGTACGAACTTGAAGCCCTTACTGCCGCCTACATAACCTACGCAACAGTTGACCCTAACTCTAGGTAAATTAGCTAGAATTTCTCTCCAAAATCTGTCAGTCGCACAAACCAAAACAGTCGACAGCTCCCTTCCGATGATTCCCAACCCAAGCCCAACATATTAGCAGTTCCCCTCATCATGACGCATCAAACCATGGTCCCCAAGCACCTACTCAGCCACCCAATCAACATCTAAAGCCAAACATTTTGAATGCAGTCATTACATAGGTTTCAAGCGAAATTTTGACGACTGTGGTGGACATCATGATCGTGGATCACCATATTCAGCATCCTCTCATCATGGTGAAACTATTACAACTATGGGTCTTCAACAATTTTGCACAAATCATGCAATTGATTTTGGGATAATTCGAAGCATAAGGGTTTAGATCCCTTTTCAATTGAATAGTATTTGTATCAAAATTCTATCATAAGTGTTTAGGGTTGATGGCAGCAGTTTGTGGTTTGAGCTTTGATGATTTTGGCGGCCACGGCGGTGGTGGTGGAGGCGTAAGGATGGGGAGGTGAAGAGTATTGAGAAAAGAGTTTTTTATTTATTATTTTTAATTTATTAATAATTTGTTTGGACTAATTTGCACTTTTTAAAAAGTTTGGCTATATAGTTGTAATTTATTTTTTTTTTTCCTTTCTTTTTTAAGTTTAAATAAGGGGGTATATTTGGTCATTTTATGTTAAAAATTGGTGAAAAGGCCGTCCAAGGCAAATAAAGTGAAAGGTAAGGGCAAAAATGTCAAAAAATGAAAAATGTGAATGTTTTCCACAATAAACTTGAAAGATAAGGACGTTTTGTGCATACCAAGTATCCTTAAAAACAGGGAAGATTGCATTTGGGGTCCCTAATCTTTTCAAAGAGAATAATTGGGTCCTAAGCTTTCGTTTTTGGCAACAAGATCCACTACCTTGACCTAACTTTGACAAATTTCAATAAAGATAAATGTGGCATTTTCCCTTTTCCTATTTAAACATTTTTAAAAGAATTAAAAAGAACAGGGAAAAAAAGAAAAGAAATTGAGCAATCAAATTTTTTTTTTGTTTTTTTTTCCTTTAAAATTGCGAGAATTTTTCAAATAATTGAGATTTGAGATTTTAAGAATCAAGCTGGATTGAACTAAAAAAAGATGGCTCTATCCAAAATTTTAAAAAGCATTATGCGATACATATAGTGGCACATGTATTGAAACCTAGACCAAAGATAATAGCATTAATACATAGATAAGGTCATCACCAAAATAGCGTCATCTTAAATTATTATCAAATGCAATTTATAGGTAACAATGTGTCCCTTCATTTATTGTCCAAATTTGTATTGGACAATGAATGAAGAGGTTAACTGGTCCATTGTCATCTATTTTAGTGACAACCACAATTTATGATTAGTATCATTATTCATCTAAAAAATATTTGTAATTCAAAAAATAATACTAAAAATGAAGGGACCGTATCAAGACGTAAAATAAAAAAATTATATAAACACACACGCACGTGTATGCGACACTACACTTCACTCTACCACCAATGAGAGGTGACTCCATTTCATTTTGCGATAAGACTTAAAATGTCCTCTTCGACCTCTACTGTCTCTGGGACAGATTTCAAAACGAAATAGATCCAATTGAAGTAGAGATTGCAAAAAACTGCACCTCTTGTTTTTAATTTCATTATGTTTTGAATGTAATTGTGTTCAAAAATTAAAAATAAAGTAAATGGGAAAATAAGATGGTAAGTATATAAATAGGATGAAAAATGAGAATATTTTATGGCATGTTTGTGCCCCTTTAATTTCAAAAAGCGTATTACAGAATAGTGATTGATGTTAAAATGTGTGGTTAAAAAAAAAAGAAAAAGTTTCTTATTTATGTGTAATATTATTTTAATGAGAATGTGTTGTTGAAAATGAGTATTGTAGAAAAAATAATGTGGTAAATATGGTAGAATGCTTGACAAACAAAGGTTTAATATTGTCTTGCAATCATAGATATTGGATCCCATCCGATCGAAGTACTGATTTTTTGGGCTACTGATTGAATTGATGAGTCAATGATTGCACTGATGGATTATTGGTTAAAAATTATATAAAAATTTATAAAATTTTCTCTTCAAGTAGATTTTTTTAAAGTTATTTGTCATTAAACGACCCGGTCCCGGTCCCGGTCCCGGTCCCGGCACGCGCACGTCGCAAAGTACGCATTGGGCGCTTTAGAGGCGCACTTGGCACGTACGCATCGTCGCGAGAAGCTGGGGAGCCTTATAGTTTTCGGAAATGGACTCGTGGTTCGATGATGTGGCAGCACAAGGCTCGGTAAGTTGGCATTCTAGGTGGCGCACGAGTGGTAGGTCGCGTTCCTTCGTCCTGCGTGGCGGTTAGATGTACGCGTGGCATCCTCATGGCTGTGACTGTTCAGAAATTGGTGAATAGACATGATAAATGGACACTTCACTTCATGGTTCAATCTGGGCCGTCAGATCATAAAAATAGTGCGATCCAATGGCTAAGACGAATCAGACCAAGTGGTGCACCAGTTCCTGAAATGTCACACACCTGTTCCATGAGACACTTCAATCTCTATAAATAGGGACCCCCAAATTCTTTTTTGATACACCAAATCAATTACGAATTCAATTGATTTCTAAATTCTTCTCTCTCCATATTCTGCTCCAAAAAAAAAAAATATCTTATACTTCTGTGGTTATTCCGTTCAAGTACGATCATTCATTGGTTCGACCGACAAGGTTGGTATTGTGCAGTATCGACTTTGGAAGAAGCGTTGTATCTTGGAAGACAAACGTCCATAATCCCGTTTGCACTTCATTGGGGGGCGAAATCTGTCTTAAGGAGATTTGCTTACTTTATTGGCATACCTCGCTTCATTTACTGTTTATTTTTCTGCTTATTTTATTTCTTCTTTTGATTGCATTAGTCGAATTTCCGACAACAAAAATAAAACATTTCAAGTTTTACCATAGATGAGTTCCACACGGTATGACAATTGCAGTCGACGAATTTCATATACGATATGAAAAAATCAATTGTGAATTGTGGACTGGCCACCTAGACGCTTGGATTAGGCTTCCAACTCAATAATTTGTCACCTTGTTTAAAAGAAAAAAAATAATTATTAATTAATCCAAATTGTTAGCTTATAATTTAATAGCTAACTAATCAAATTCTGACCCGTTAAATCTTTGCAAATTAAGTTGAGGATCATCACTGTGTCATCACTTAGAAAAAAATAAAGGTGTTTTAATTTGCTAGGCCAAATCCGTGACTCCATTGAGCCAAAATCTTGTCAACGATTAATATAAAAATGAAGTAACGTATATTGACCATCGATTAGTTTAAACTTTTAAAAGATTTTATATTCAACATCGAACATTCCGAAGGTTAGTACGAAAGAAAGGAGATGGTTAAATGAGGGGAGAAAGGAAATTACTTATTTTGATTATTTATATACCATTTTCTTTATATTTTTACATTTTATTAAAGTTAATTACTTAATTTGTCTCATTCTCAAACTGAATTATTGTCACGAATAATTCAATAATTTTTGGAGGGAGAAAATCAAAATTTTGCAAATTAAATTAGGGCCTGACGGAGAAATATCCTTAAATTAGATTGAATTGACGGTTCAAGTAGTGAAATTATAAAACACCAAAATGGTATGATTATGTTCTAAAAATCACATTAGTAGATATCATATAGAACCCCTTAACGTATCCTTCTAATTCAAAATCATACGAATAAAAAATTGATAAATAATATTATTCATGGTGAAGCTTATTGGTAAATCACTAAATCGTTTTATGTAACATATATGTGATAGTGTATCAAAAAACAAACTGTCATATATGATGATTATCGATAAATTTTATTACGAATAGCATTACTCAAAATTGTTCGAAATTTTCAACGACCTTATTTAAAAAAATAAAAATCGAAAAGAACAATAAAAGTTCCCTATTTTCTCCTGGTGAGCGGACCACTGACAGTGACTTTGGGAACGCGCACGAGATAAACGTTGGACTATTCCAAAAAAGCATGTTCAATTTGCTAGCTCTCAAGAATTATTAATTTTATCGACGGTAATAATAATAATAATAATAATAATAATAATAATAATAATAATAATAGTTGGACTATTCCAAAAAAGCATGTTCAATTTGCTAGCTCTCAAGAATTATTAATTATATCGACGGTGGTCGTAATAATAATAATAATAATAATAATAATAATAAATAAGAAAAATTTGACTAAAACAGGCTGTGGCGGCGATTCGCGGCGTCCAAGAGCCGTTCTTATCTTTAACAACCAATTAGACATGGAAGATTGTTTGATTTTCATTACATTACATAGTACCACCATGCTGGTAAGAGGACTCGAACACGGAACCTCAGCCAGCAATGCCAATGTCCTTACCACTAGAGCAAATAGACATCGGCTCTCTCAAGAATTATTAATTTTATCGACGGTAGTCGTAGTAGTAATAATAATAATAATAATAATAATAATAATAGTTGGACTATTCCAAAAAAGCATGTTCAATTTGTTAGCTCTCAAGAATTATTAATTATATCGACGGTGGTCGTGATAATAATAATAATAATAATAATAATAATAATAATAATAAATAAGAAAAATTTGACTAAAACAGGCTGTGGCGGCGATTCGCGGCGTCCAAGAGCCGTTCTTATCTTTAACAACCAATTATACATGGAAGATTGTTTGATTTTCATTACATTACATTTTTTACATTACATTACATTACATTTTATTTTTCTCTCTCCTATTTTCAACCACACAATCTTCCATAAAATAATATTACACGTAAATCGAAAATTTTTCTTTCTTTTTCAACCACTCATTTTTCAAAAAACACTATTCTATACATTAAATTTTCCCTGTAATGGGGGCCAAACAGGGGCTGAGTTTCTATTTTATGCTTTAAATCAAAACATTTTTCTTATGCACATTTTCAATCATGTTTAAAAGTTATGGTTTAATTATTTATTTTTTCTTTTCATGTTAATCATAAATTTTCTAAAAAAATACTATTTCCAATAATTTTTTCAAAAATCATTTTAATAATGTCAAACAATTGCTAAACAGCAAAAGTGTGGGGCCATGGGGTGGGTTAAGTGACAAAAACAAATAGTAATGTTATTTAGTTCTTCTGAAAATGAAACATGAAATTAAATAAGTCATTTAAGGTTATAACCTCATTTTAGGTGGCGTTAATGTAGCATTAAATGATAGATAAAATTAAATAAGTTATTTAATTTCACATTTCATTCAATTTATCATCAAGCACCACCTACACTGAGATTGTAATCCTAGTGAGGCTGCATAGCATTAGTCGAAAATAAATGAATCACCAAGAGAAAGAATGCTACATGGAACAAAATAAACTATTCAATTAAAGTTTAGATGATACATTTTTATATATTTTTAGTTATTAGACAATATGTCAGTAGTCCTTATACATCATAACTTGATTATTTAGCCCCCATTTGATGAATATTTTTACGTCATTTTTAGATGAATTCAGATCGTTATGCAGTATAATTGTCAAAGAGGGGAGCACTTTTTTTTATTTTTTTATTTTTTTATTTTTTTTATTTATTTTATTTTTTTAACACTAAATTTGGTTAAATTATCAATTTGCCCATTCAAATAAAATTATCCTTAGAGATGTGATGGCAATTTTGTAAAAAGACCCCTGTCAAGTCAAAAGTTGTTGCACGATCAAGTCCCACTGAGAGATATAACGATCATAAATTATATTCTCATTTTTGGCTAAATGGTTGGCAAACAGGGGCCTAAAGTATAATCAATAGCATTAATTTGAATCATATAAGCTCAAGACAGCTCTGGTTGAATAAAAGTCAGACACGGGCTATTTACTGGCTGGCTACCATTAATAATTAAACCTGTTAATGTCTCTTTCATCTCCCTTTTTTTAAAAATAAATAAATAAATAAATAATTATAGTGTGAAACTCACTAAATTAAAAACTTTTAAATAAATATGCCATAAAATCTCATTTTCATGGCTGCAAAAATTCAGAAGAATTTAAAATTCACTAAGGGTGTGTTTGATTACATTTATTTTCCATGAAAAATATCAATTTTCCATCCAAATTCCTACTTGGAGTGTTTGATTGCTAATTTTTTCCATGGAAAACATTTTCCAATTTTTGAAAATATGCCTAATTTTCCTTATTTTTAAGAAAAATATTTTCCTTGGGTAGAGGTGGTTTTTATTTTCCACAAAAGATGGAAAATATTTTCTTTTCTAGGTGATATTTTCCATATTAATTAAACACACTCTAATTTGCTTGAAAGTGATTTTTTTTTCATACATGCTATTAGCATTATCCTTTATTTAATAGCAAAAAAGTAACTTAAAAGTAGAGAAGAAAATGGGTTAAAAAAAAAAAAAATCTAAGTGCCATTTACGGGCAATTGTTGTCTAAATAAGTATCAAGGTATAATGTGAAGGACACTAATTTAGCATAAAAAACCAGCCATGTTGATTTTTAGAGCTACGCCTCATTTCATCCACATTAAACTTATATCCCGCCCTCTGGGACATAGCTCAGTGGTACAAAAAACGAGAGTGAGGTTATTTCACGCCTTGCTGACAGCAGCAGTGTGGGAGTTCAGTTCCTGAAACATGAAATTGAACTCCTTGTAAGTGCGGCATACAAACAGCTCTTGTTCCCTGACCTGTAGGGGCACATCCCGCGATTTACCTCCTTCGCAAAGCTCTAGGGGCGGGGCATTGGGGCCAAAGTTGGGGTTCAACCTTTTTTTTTTTTTTTTTTTTTTTTTTTTTTTTTATAAATACTTCCCTCTT